ATTATATATAAAGCATACACACATATATATATATATATATATAGCAATACCTAACACTCTAATGTACAACTTCTCTTCTTAAATATTCTGTATATAAAATTGTTTAAATAACAAGACTCACATTTTTCCTTTACTTTTCATATAATAATTAAAGATTGTAAAAGAAAGGAAAATAATTTTGCATGTTCTCTATGTAGGTAATTTTTAAACTGCTACAGGGAGTAGAATTAAATCTTTCTTTATTTATCATTTTTTTTTCTCAATATTTTTGCATCTTGCCGAATCGAATGCTTGCCGATTAAAAATAATAAATAACGACGTATCGACGAAAACCAGCAATAATTAATATAAAACTACGAGATCTGCTTATCTTGAAAAGACAGATTAACAAAATAAAACAAACAATTTGCATGCATTGAGATTAATAAAAATAGATCAAAATAAAAGAAAAGAACAAGCTCGAGCACATCAATCTACTTACGTATATACATCTTTATCTAAAGAGAGAAAAGAAATTGGTTCACCTTTTCTAACAAACGAACTTCCGGTGATTTTTGCTTTGTCAAATCGGTGTTCTCGATAAAGAAAAAAAAAAAAAAAAGTAAGAAAAAGAAGGAAAGATCAGTTTTTTCTAAGGTACCTTACGAGTAGAAACGAAGTGACACTCTGTAAAAAGTGGGAATAACGTTCGTCGGGCAATAAAGAGATAATGCCGAGCTTTGTGAAAAGAAGGGGGATGGTCGGGGGGTACCTTCGTGGTAAGTTCTTAACGGGACGTCCAGCCGTTTCTGAGAGGAGCTTCCATCCTAAGAACGAGGCAATTATAGAGCCGTGGTTTACCGGTCGCGTTTACACCCGTACATTGCTTCTTCGTATAGGTTAAGACCCAATGCGATCGTAAACTTAGCTGACGCGGTCCAACCTCTTTGGCATTGGCGTTCGATATCTCGAGCTCGTGTCGTCGTCGTTGTCACCGTCATAGTCATCGTTGTCGTAGTCGTAGTCGTAGTCGTTTCCGGATTCGACCATCCTCGTGAAAACTCGCTTGACCCTCTTCCTAGTATCAGTAGTAAAAGGAGAAGTGCAAGAAAGAAGAAGAAGATCGAGGGACGGGTCAGGGATAGAATCTTTTTCGTAGGGGTTGGTGGTGGAAGGGGGAGAGGGGAAGTAGAATAGAAGAAGGGTCTGAGATAGCTGTCAGATCCATTGCATCAGAAGAAATATCTATTTTCGCTTATATCCACGTGAATCCCTGGTGGAGCACCCTACACACACACACTGGAGACAATTCTTCTACGATATCTTTTTCATATTAAATATAGAAACAAGATGAGGGAGGAAAAAAAAAGAAAAAAAAGAGTAGAAAGGTATTACATCGAATTCGTAGGAATCAAAGTATTATCGTTTTTCTCCCCTTTTATACTTCTTCTTCTTCTTCTTATTCTTATTCTTCTTATTCTTGTTTCTTATTCTTTTTTTTTTTTCTTTCTATTTCTGTGTCCCTCGTGCCTGTCTCTAGTCAAGACAAGTTCGTAACAAATCGGAACGGAAATCGATAGATCGATTCATTCAATGGTGTACGACACGATCGCGCGTCCATTATACGATTAATATCAAGACGCATATTAATTCGCTTTTGAGTAACGTTATTAATGGCCGAAGTGCGGAAGCCCGACGACGTACGATTAAATCGGTCGAGAGTAGTAATGGTAGTGGGTAGTAGTAGTAGTAATAGTAATAGTAATAGTAATAGTAGTAGTAGTAGTAGTAGTAGTAATAATTCTCGCTCGAGTAAAGGCCGCGTCTCAGTAGTAGTCGTAACACACAACGAAGATTATTAATCAAGTTGTGAAATAAAAAGTAATGGGGGTGAAGCGTGTAAACTGAAACTAACGAATTAATAATTTCGTTTAATATCTTTCTCGCGGGTTGAAACGTACCGTAACCTTTTGCCCTTGTTCCGCGTAAGATAACGAAATTTAGATGCTTTCAATCTCTGCCGCCGCCGCCGCCAGCCATCAAAACTCTCTCACTACGAAAACAAAATAGAACAGAACATAATAACAGAACGAAACAGTGAAGTACAGAAACGATATCAACACACGTCATACATTTATATTCACCTGTCTTTTATCTTCTTTTCTTCTTGTTTTTTTTTTTCAGCAAACGCAAAGCCACTGACCTTCGACGAGGTATATAATCAAAGTAGTCCTACCAACTGCACGGTTTACTGCGGCGGGCTAACCAATGGTTTGACGGAGGAATTGATGCAGAAGACCTTTTCTCCATTTGGATCTATCCAGGAGATTCGTGTATTTAAGGACAAGGGATATGCCTTCATCAGGTAAATTACTAGCCCGTTCTCGAGGGTGACGTTTGTTTTCCCTCTATCCTTCTCTCTCTCTCTCTCTCTTCTATCTCACGTAGAATAGCTGAGTGGTGGGAGAGAAGATTGAGAGAATAGAAGTAAGAAGGTACACGAACCGTTAATTATTCGCCGGATATCTAACTGGTAGTAGGGATAGTTTCCAAGAAATCTTCCGGTATCATCCTCTGTGTAAATCCTCCGAACTCCAGCATTCACATGCGTCGCCTCGTTCTAAAGCTTCACGATATCCCTTAAGACTACATCGTGTCGGCGTAGTCGAAACGAAGCGACGACGTACGTCACCGGTGTGTCCCGTTTTCCTGGTGTATACTGCGAAATGACAGAAATTCCCTCGAGTAAGTTAGACCCAACACGCGTTTCCTCGCGTGACTAGACGTCTCGTCTCGACTCATAGAGAGTGAAGAGAGAAAGAGAGTGAAATATAGATGAGGGAGTAGGGATCGATGATCGATAAAGAGATGAAGAATAACGAAACGCACTAGGACCATTTGTAACTTTGACGCACGGTTAAACCAAAGGAATTCTTTTTTCTCGGAGCAAAAATTTACATCGAATCACCGTGAAAGACGGACATTCTCTCTCACTCACTCACTTACTCACCTCTTTATCTTTCTATTTCTCTTTTTCTCGAGACTAATTAAAATATGAAATAAGATATAATTATACATACTTCAATTAGATAAGATTTAAATTCATAAGAGGCGAGTAGAAAGAGAGAGAGAGAGAGTAAAAGTATGAAATTAAGATTTGATCCATTTGTAAAGTCAGCTTTTCTTTTTACAACAATTATCGTAGTTATCCGTTCTTATTTCTTTCTATACTTTGATAACAAGTATTCTGTTAGACGTGCTGTACTACTACCAGATCTAATCACCGGATCAAATTTCAATTTCATACCTTAACTACTCGTGAATTCTTAAATTACCTAATTAATGTATGTAAATTTACTTTCCTTCATACTCTTTAACAGGTTAATACAGTTATTTCGTGGTTTAGTTGGTTATTTCATGAATTAACGGATTTCACGTTTGAACGCTAACATATACATACATGTATATATGTTACCGTCATATCCGGAAATCCGCCATTGCTAGTAATTCCTCGGCATTACTATGAATGCAAAGAGCATTCCGATGAAGTCGGAAACAGAAGAATTCTTACAGTTTTTCCTAAGCATTGAACATAATACTTTGATGTTCTATAGAATATTAAATTACTATTTATACGCGTAGACAAAAGAGTGTACTTTAATTTAATACAAGTTTTATTAAAATCTATTCACTTTTAGTATAAAAAATATTCACCGAAACTTTTCAAAGAAATTGCAAAGATGCACAATTTACAGCATTGCATTCTCTGAAATTTTCTGAACTTTACATGCTAAATTTATAACTAAATATGGTATTCTACGCGTAGACAAAAGAGTGTACTTTAATTTAATATAAGTTTCATTAAAATCTTTTCACTTTTATTATAAAAAATATTGACCAAAACTTTTCAAAGAATTAGCAAAGTAGTACAATTCACAGCACTGCATTCTCTGATATTTGCATTCATAGTAATGCCGAGGAATTACTAGCAATGACTGATTTCCGGCTATGACGGTAACATATATATATATAACTTGATTAATAGCTGTCCTTTGGCGTTGCACACCGGCGATTATGATCAGCCCACAAAATTTGGGTCACGATTCTCGTCTGACAAGAAATATGGCGACGCCTTGGTGAATCCGTCGAGCATTCGTAACGCTCGAAGGCGTATCTATATCCCTTAAAGACAGCCGCGACCTACCTCAGGACGAACTGTCGAGAGATGTGGGTGAGTCGTGAGCTGAAACGAGGGATAGAAAAGGACGATAAAGGAGTGTGAGGAAAGGGGTTAGAAAGAAGAAAGGAAAGATAGGACAGATAGGGAGAAAAAACCCTTTCTTCTACCTTCCCTTTCTCTCTTTATCTTTCCCTTTATCATTCTCTTTATCTTTCTCTTTCCTGCCAGACTCGTTTTTCGCCCACATTATACCTACACCATTCAGCATTCTTTACTCTCTTCTATCCTCCCCTCTGAACGATCTCTTACTTCTTACCCTTCGTCTCCGACCGTCGCCATCATCGTCGTCTTCGTCGTCGTCGTCGTCGTAGTCTACTCACCCCAAAGCGTTCCTCCGTTCTTGGTGTGTCTGCCACAGTTCCGCCACCCGTGGACAATGTCCGTCGTTCAGATATCTTCCGTCTAATTGCTCTTCCCCCTGCCATTCTTCCGGTAGCGTGGCATCATCCCCCACCCTTAACCCGGAAGGGAATATCTCGGGATGACGTATGAACCTACTTCTGGGCTTGGTTCGCTTCGCGAAAAGGGACATCAAGGGAAAAGTCGAGGATGGAAGCGGTGTAGTAAGGGTAGGAAAGGGAAAAAGAGAGTTGAAGGGTGAGAAGGGATCCTTTCTTCTTCACGGAAAGAAAGAATCTTATCTGCTGCTGGTTATCGCTCGAATTCGGCTCTCATCAAAAAGGGTTCAGGGTAGAGAAGGGTAAGTCTTTGCTGACGACGACCACCCACCTACCCTTCCTTCTACTTGACGATCACAGACCAAGCAAAAGAAAGAAAAAGAGAGAAAGAGAAATCGGTCGAACCATTCCATTGTGTTGTTCTGATCGTTAACGTTAAAAGTGACCTAATCTTCGCGAACTTGCAATAATTCTTCGCCTCCGACTATTCCAGCAAATTCGGCACGAGCCGCCGCCACTGCCCTTTTACGATCCCTTTTAATCCCCGTCCCGAATTCGATGGATACAATGTGCGCGTCATGTCCAAACTTCCGTTGCGTTTATCCAATAAAATTTATTGTTGCTGTTCAATCGCTTATCGCGATCTCTCTCTTTCTCTCTTTCACTCTCTCTGTATCTCTCTCTTTCCCTTTATCAGTAAAAAGAGTGAGTACGACGATATAAAACGAGCTTGTGCGCTTCTGCACTCACGTTCGCGTTACGTCGAAGGCACGTAAAAACATTTTACAACTCATCACCGTCCCTGTAACTTTCCAATATAAAAATTTATATCGATCATCGAGAAATAATGCGAACGAGATATACTCGCTGCTAACCAACGATTTTAAAATGGCTTCATGTTATCTACACGATAATGCGTGAAAAATATTTTATACGTGTTTGTTTCAAAAGAACATCCTACGTGTTATTTTAATGAATTACTAAAGCATCCATACAGAGAGACACCCTCGTTTATTACTGAAAGGAATTTTAATTCTTTTATGGATAAATATACATATACAGATATAGTACACATAAACATCATAAATATATATTTGTATACGTTGATACAATAAAAGAGTAAGACCTTTGTGATACGTTCAACAAAATATATATATATATTTATGCAATATCATATCCTTCTTTCGAAAAATCTCAAAAGCTTTGTATTTCTCGTTAAAGCACGAAATTTGATTAACTCTATAGCCTACGGCGCGAGTAGGTATCCGTACACGAGATTATCTTTATAATGCCTCTAAAAACGACGTGTTTATGTCCAGCCGTGTGGCATAACATATCCCCGAGTTTGCTCAACGACGGTAAAACCCCTTCCCTTGATTCTTGGGTAAATGCCAAACGGCAAACCTTAACTTTCCCGTAATTGAAGGGCTCGATATATAAGCTTCTGTACGCGTGTCGGTAAATACAATCTACTTACCCTCCGTTCTAAAGGTTAAATCCTTTCTTTATAGCCAGGATATATATCGGATGCATTGTAAAAGTTACTCGGATTACGTATAACCTTAAGTCAACGACGAAGATTTTTATATTCGGACAGTAGAAAAAGTAAAGATAGACGAAAGAAAAAGAGACAAATGTAAGAGAAAGAAGAAAATTCGTAAAGTGCATTTCCTTTGGGCAAAGCGCCGGGTGTAGATACATTTTCGTTGGATTGTAAAAATATCAAAAGCTAAGGCGAGATAGCGGAAAGTACGATTTAACATTGGAATGCCAACTACGAATCCGGTAATCCGGATTCGGAAGATTCACAATTATCGTGGTCATTCGTGCGCACAGTAAATTCGCATAAATTAAATGGCTGGAGTCGCTTAGAACGCCAGTGGCCAACTATTCTACAAAGGTACGATAATAAGGTCCGGTGTAACTGGCGGAAAGAGTGCCGAATTGTACCTTGGATTTTATTTTTCGATTTAGTATACGATGCATATACTTACATATGTGTATATATTGAAAAGGAACACTAAAAATAGAACATAAAGGTTTTCTACTATTTATTCTCTCTCTCCTTCTAACTACGATCTTTTTTTGTTAGTTAATATACATTTCATTCAACTTGCTTTCAGGTTTTCTACAAAGGAATCGGCCACGCACGCTATTGTGGCGGTACACAACACGGACATCAATGGGCAGACGGTGAAATGCAGCTGGGGAAAAGAAAGTGGAGATCCAAATAACGCCCAACAAACAGGGCAGGTAAGTGACCCTTAAGAAAATTGGATCATTTAGATAAAACGATTAGAATAATAATATCCTCGAAAAATGATACCCCACATATATATTACTTTAAATGGTCGTTATTTGACCGAATAAAATTTAATAAAAAGCTTTCATTCGCGATTTAAGCACATGAACGGTCATTGATCTCGTTTCTCTTATACGTGTCTATCTTGCACCGTCGAAATAGATACAAAAGGACTAGACGAATCCGAGATACTAGATCGTGAAAATTCTTCGGTTCAGAGCCATTGGAAAAAGGAAGTTGTTACTGAGTTCGATTCCGGTCCCAGCTTCATCCGGTCGTCTCTAACTCGGATTCTGCTATCCACTGTCACTAAAGCAGGAATATGACCAGTCTGTTCTCATCTTTCTATCTTTCTCTCTCTCTTTCCCTCTGTGTCTATCTGTCTGTCTTCCATTCTCTGCAATCCTCGAAAGAAAGAATGCGAAAAGAGAAGAAGAAGAAAGAGAAGAATGAGAATGAGGAAGAAGCAGAGAAGGAACAGGAGAAAAAGGAAGAAGATAAAGGACGGAGAATCAGGCAAGATTCCGGTCTATTCAGGTAGCTGCTCTCTTCGGGAGTGTGTTCTCGTCGGGTCTCTTAGCAATTAGCGCCGTTAGGACGAGTAGGTACGTCCGATCTGGGAAACAGTATCCAGAGTACGGTGCTTGGTCTCCTCGTTGGTTCGGATAGTACTTCCGCCCATCCATCCACTGTTACTCGGCCCGTGACATCGCTCTAATTGATCCCTATTCCCATAACGCGTTTCTCCTACCGAGTACTAGGATATCGAGTTACTCCAAACCTCGTCATGCACATACATACATACATACATACATGAATACATACGTGGATATATCTATAGACACAGTAGTATCCTGGGCAGTTACCGACTGCTCAACTTAAAGAGGACGTTGGAAACTCTGTCATCGACCATTTGACTCTCCTTCAAATCTATATATATATACGTTATGATGATAGTAGTATGTACGTTCGCATTTTCCCGAGGAAACAAATGCATTGTCGAAAGACCCGTCGTAACGCGTTTATATTGGTATCATTAACGAAGTTAGGATCACCATCGCTGAGATGAGCATCGTAATCTCTGTGATCGTTCGAAAGTACCTGAAAGAAAGTTATAAAGCTAGCCAAATAATCGTTATTAGGAATATCCACCCCCCCCCCCATCTCCTTTTCTTCTTCTGGACGATTTCGATGGGTAGCATTATCTTCTTTTTACGATCCTCATTATATTAGAGAAAATGTTTAATGTTCTATTACGATTCCAACGGTCGTTAGAAAAATTCTAATCGATTAGGACGTTAAAAATCTATATTAATGGATGCATCGCGATAAAGAAAAAAATTCAATTAATTTTCAAATTCAAGCGAATATTCTCGGTCGGGGTTCCCCCTTTCTCGTTTCATTGATCTCGGTGTTCTTTCAGGCGTTATCGTCGGCGACGTATCCGTACTACGCGGCGGCAGCTGCTGCCGCCGCGGCGGCGGCGGGCGTCGCGGGTGTTGGAGGCGTCGGTGGCGTCGGGAGTGCCGGCCAGCTAGGTTACTGGTATCCACCCCAATCTTACCCGACAACGGCAACTCAGATGCAAGCCGGTGGTTTCCTTCAGGGCATGCAAGGCTATACTTACGGCCAGTTCGCAGGATACCAACAGGCGCAGTATATGGGGTGAGTTCACTTTTCACTTATCATTGTTCGGAATTTGATTTATTTTTCCTTCTCTTTTTCATACGAAAATATTTGTTGACGAAATCTTTCGAACAATTTACCTAAGATGAAGTCTTTTTTGAATAAAATAATGTAATTAACTTGAATATACTATTATTATTATAATAATATTTCTTAAGAAAAACTTTTGTTTTCATTATATTATATTATATTATTATTCAGTCACACACTTAACGTTCGTAAATACGTTAATCACTTTTCCTAAAACATTTTCTATACGTTTGTACATGTGTATATATACATACGTTGTAAAGTATCATCAAGCACTGTCACCTTTTCGTTACCAGCTGACCATGCTTGACTGATGTTACTGTCTAACTGTGGTCAGCCAGCGTCATTGCAGTTTAACCGTAACCATGACTTGACTAAATGTAATTTCGTCGTTAGATTCGAAGTTAAATTATCCATCTGATATTAGCAAATTCGTTGTTTCTCTTTATCGAAAGAATACCTACTGCATTGAATATAAACCAAGTGAAATTTACATATTAATTGTATATAGTTTTTACGAGTAATACATTTATGTTGTATTTGAATATTAAAAACGTTAAAATATACAAAAACAGAATGGGAATGGGTGTCCATGCTGCTGGCACGGCAGCTGGATGGGGCCAAGGATTACCTGGGGGACCACAAATCCCTCATCATCCATCGGTCACGGCACCCCCAGGGGTTCAAGCCGCACCTCCACCTCCACCACCCCCGGCGCAAATGATGGCCTATCCGATGCAACAGTTCCAGGTAATCATTACTTTTCTCTATCAGCACGACGGTACACGTAAATGTTTGTGTGTTTTCTCGTACCCCTGTACGCATCGATGCTTCCAATGGAATTCTATTTTCCTTGTTTCTACAAAATATATTACTTTTTTAATTTCAAAGACGATAGCAAAATAGTCTTGGTTTTTGTATATTACATACCACAGCATTGATTTTATATTAATGTATGTTAATTGTAACTAACAGCGTCTAGAGGTTATTTTTTGTTTAACGTTCGATACTATACATTATACTGCTTTATTAATATTCAACATTAGAAAAGAAAAAAAAACAATAGGATATACCTTTTTTAATTGTGCATGTTTTCATAAGATGCGCTTTCTCGATTTTGTGAAAATAAAGTTCACGTAAAACATCATTCACATTCCTCATCGTATATATTTATTGGTACATATTTTATTTCGATTATTTTGAACGATAGAAATGCATTTAACACGCATCATTTTGTCTCATCGTAACGCGCATGCTCCTTGCACTATTTACTAATCTATCGAGTATCTCACTGGAATAACATCCTTTTTAATTTATTTTATAATATACACATAAAAAAAATAGAGAGTAGTATATACAAATATATTTTATTTCTCTTCGCAAAAAAATGAAAAATAAATATCATCGATAATAAGCATTACGATTTTAACAGTATGTAAGCCAGAAGAGATACTCGAATGTCCATCTTAAAAGACTGTCTTTATTTACATATTTTGGTTCGCAGGCACAGTGATCGCTACCACTATCATCGCACGGCCTGGCTTATCATTTCTTTCGAATGTCACTTAGCATCAAGATAACTGCGTCTACAACCTGGCTCAACCTCAAATCCAGCTTGAAAAGTATCACTGGGCATCGTTCTTTCATTCTATCGTACAGAATTTCTCAGAAGTGGAAAAGAGAATATTAAGAGGGAGGAAAAATAAGAAGAAAGAATGATATATAATAATTATTGTTGTACATACGTAGATACTTTTGTATCAACGTAATAAAAAAAGGAACGATCAAGTTTCTTGTTAAATTAAGGAAGCAAACAAAACAAAACAAAACAAAAAAAAAATAAAAATAATAATAATAATAATAATAATAATAATATTAATAACAGTAATATAATAATAATAATAATAATAATAATAATAATAATAGCATAGAGAAAAAATAAAGAAAAAAAAAAAATAAAGAAAATTTAAAAAAAGAAATAAAAAAATAGTAGTCTACGTCGACGAAGTCTAACTAATTACTTAATTCGCAATCGATCGATATCTTTTCGGCTCGACTGAGAGAAAAAAATGCCTCGTCCTATCGCCCTTTGACACTTTATACCGATCGATGTGTAGCGTAACGGCTTATTACCGTGTAACACCAATGTATTTTTAGTGTATCGGACTATAGGGGGTCAGAGGTTGAGTCATGGTAAAGGCAGTTTCAGTTCGATTAGTGTCCGTGTATGTTTGACGAGCGATTGCGAGCGAACAAGGGAGAAAGAAAGAGAGAGAAAGTAGATGAAAGTCATGGAAGAAAGAGAAGGAGAGAAAGGGAGAGAGAAAGTAGATGAAAGTCATGGGAGAAAGAGAAGGAGAGAGAGAGAGGGAGAGAAAGAAAAGGAAAGAAAGAGAATGGGAGGGAGTGAATGAGAAAGATGTCGAAATTATTTCTATTTCCCTTCTTGAAATTCGGACCAAGACTTAACCAGCGTTTGTGTGTTCAAATGGTAAAGTGTGTTCTTGGTTGCGGTCCAGCTAGCGGATGAGGACTGGCTGACGCCTAGCCTTCTAGTGTGATGGTAAGCAAGTACATCCCACCGACAGGAACAACTTCTAAAGCAACAACATTTACCACCACCGACAGCAACATCAACATTTCCGTCACCATCGACGCCACCGCGACAGCAAAAGCAGTAAAAATCATGCCGCTTCCGGCCTGACGTCTCGCGACACGAAGGGCAATAATGGTCGATAAACGAATATAATACTAGCTTAGCAAAATATAAAGAAAATGAATGGGGTTAAAAGGGGGAGAGAGGACTAGGGAAGAATAAGGTGATAGAAAAATTGGAACGATAGAAAAGATGAGATAGATTAAAAAGGAGAACAAATAAAATAAAATAAAATAAAAGGAAGGAAGGAAGGAGGGGGAAAGGTAAGGAAAGGAATGAAGAAGAGAGGAAAATTATTGTCATGATAGATTTAACGCAAGATCCTTCCATCCTTAACAACCACCCCATTACGAATTTCCTCTCACTCTCCGTTGACTTTAATTGACTCGAGCTTGTAAAAGAGGAAAAGGAGGATAGAAAAATATTGAGAAGAAATATGAACGAATGAAATATAGAAAAAGAATGGATAAAGGAATGAATAAAATTCAGCTATTGTTGTTGGGCGATCATTGATCATCCTCTCGCGCGTTAGTCCGCAAGAAATTTTAGTAAATTTCTAGTCTCTAATAATTTTAGATAGTATCTCGCCGTGTCACGTTAGTGTCAAGCGCTTATAAGCACGAAAACACACGAGTTCTCGGATGCACGGACCAAAACACGCGTTCGCGCAGCAATAGTTGTTTTAGTTTTACTATAAAACAACAGCCAATTTTACTGATGCACCAAACGTACATACTTACGTACGTACTTACGTACGTACTTACGCACGAGCGCACGCACGCACGCACCCACCCACGCTTGTCGAAAAAGAAAGGTAAAAAGAAAGAATTAAAATATAAAGAGGAAAGATTAAGGTAGAGATAATTCAATATAGGGTACTCGGTATAATAGGGCACGTGTGCGCGCGCGCGCGTCTACGATCGTGCGAAATCGATTACCAAAAATAAATTAGTCTCGCCTCCCTGATCAAATCTATATACATAAATACATACATATACCCTAGCCCCAACAATCCTTACTCCCCTTAATCCCATTGAGCTATTTATAGTACGTGCTTTTCGAAAAATACATTTTTTCTAAATAGACCCTATTCGTTCAATGAGAAAAATTAAAAAGGTAGAGTATAATTAGATACCGATTTGTTTCGTTATTTTTATCATTTTTGGCATAAACGCAAATGAAGAAAGAATGGGGAGAAAAGAGAAATATGGTGTTTGTGAACGTAAAAGAAACTCGAGATTGCGAAATAATCTTTCCAATTCATGATGTATAAAGACTAGATTAAAAAAATGGAAAGAAAGAAGAAAAAAATGGTGTCGTAGAAGGAAAAAGAATAATGAGTGTACTTGAAAAGAAAAAGAGAGAGAGAGAGAGAGAGGAATATATAAAAAGAAAATAATTATAAACGAAATACACACACAAGTAGCTAGTTAGATAGGTATAATATATTAAAAAAAGTTGCTCGACGGGCGATTCGAAATTCGGCGGCAAAGCGGAGGCTAACTTCTTTCCGATTTAATCCACGAATAAACTAAACGACGATAATCTAAACGTTTTTAATACTGCGCGCGATCCATTTACGCTCGCACAAATTCCGATAAAATAATTCTTAATTAACGAATGCTATTGCGAACCGGTACAACCAATCGTACTATTTCTTAACTTTTACAAACGAGAGAAAAAAAAATAGAAAGAGAGAGAGAGAGAGAGAGAGAGAGAGAGACAAAAATGTAAAGAAAAAATAACGGAGATCTGTTTGCTAGGTGCGAAAGTATTTCATACACGCATGTGTGCATTTATACATACGTATTTAACTAGAGCAAACTCGAGGCCAAAAAGACAAATCATCTGAATGAATCATCATATTTAAAAAGTAGATGAGTGAATAAAAAAAATATTTGAAGGAAGAGAGAGAAAGAGAAGATAAAAGAAAAGGAAAAAAAAAGATAGTTGGACCGCTCGATAAACTCTCGAAGTATAAACATTTTTTATTATTAGTTCTCGTCCAAACCGATCTCTGACATCCGGCGAAACAAATATTTTTATAAAAGGATTGTCGGTGCGCGAGCTTCGGGTCCCGCGATGCTCACGATCGTCATGTTGCCGTCATTGTCGTCCTTGTCGTCGTCGTCATCGTAGTCGTCGTCGTCGTCGGCATTGTCGTCGTGCAACCGGTCAATCGCAGTAATAACCCTTGGTGGTTTTTAAATAAGCGTTAGATTTTTATATAATACTAAAGTACATAAATACATAGAACCAAAAATTAACGATGAAAAATATTAAGAAAAAGAAGAAGGAGAAGAAGAAGGAGAAGGATAAGGAAAAGGAGAAGGATAAGAAGAAAAAGTAAAGAAACTGTAAAACTCGTGAATTTAAGCAATAAACCGTTAAGCTTATAAAATGGGTGAAGATTAATATTATATAATAGACAAAATAAAAATTAAAAAGAATATAAAACGGCTGTGTGTGTGTGTGTGTGCGTGTGTAGAAAACACTCCTCAGCCTCTCTGTATATCGCTCTTTAAAAAAAGAAAAAAAGAAAAAGAAAAATGAAAAATGAAAAAAAAAAAAAGAAAAAAAAGAAGAAGAGATATAAAGGCGTTTTAAACTGGCGAAAGGAAGGTCACGCTTTTTCAACAACGAACGAAGGCTATTGGAGGAGACACGGGGTTAGGAGAAATTAGAAAAATCGACACGCGAATATTCTCCCGGTGTATTTATGCACATTTTGCGCAATTAAAAATCCTCCGAACGAATAACATTAAAAATAATGAACACAAATAAGAAATAAAAAAATAAAACGAGGATAAAGAGAAAAGAAAAACGTAGCACACGGTCTCCACGATGTCCCGGATTTCGACTCGGCCAATTTACAAAAGAAATAAGACAAAAAATATGAATGAATATCGAGATCGTCGATTATTGTAATAAAAATGGTGTGTAAAATAACTCAATATAATAATCTGTATGAATGAAATATTCGAACGAGATAACGCGAGCAAATATATATAAATATACTTATATATATATATACTTATATGTGTCGGTAATTATTACAGTGTGTACGTGGACTAAAGATAAATTAAAATAAATCATAAAATTAATTTTTTCGGTTTTTTGTATTTAGTCCGGTGTTATAATTACCGTCATGTATACATATATATTATACATATGATTACACAAACGAAAAAAAATGAGAACGAACGCGATGTGTGAGAAAGGAAGAAAGATTTAAATAAAATGCGTAGTTAGAAATATTGCACAAACAGCACGAAAGTTACATTATATAGTGGCATTGAATTTCCTTCTCGTGTACGCGCGTTGTGTCTATCATCGGTACAATATGTATAAGTAAGTAATCAAAGCACGGTTACCATAATCGATTCGAAATCTGTGTTCGATTATCTTTAGCGATGGCGGTGGAAGTAGTAAAGTGTTAAGTGTTAGCAAAAAATGAAAGTAGTTGGGGACATAATAAAGGGTGTGTATGCGTGTGTGTGTATATATATATATATTTCGCAAATACTTGAGTGGATCGAAAAAAAGAGATAGAAGGAGTTAGAGAATAAGAGAGAAAGAAAGAGAGAAAGAGAGAGAGAATAAAAAGAGGGGAATAGATGGAGATAGACGAGAACGAGGAGGAAAGTATGAGGAGGGGGTGGGAGGACTGGAAGGAAAGGTTTTCGATACTTGAAAAGGTAGAACAAGG